GTAGTTCTCCAAGGATTTTTGAGAACTGTTGCTTATTGAATGCAAAATATTTAGACACTGGGAAGATTGGAGTTTCCAGTATTGATTCTTAATGAAAGATCTGATTGCTAAAGAATCCAGAAAGCAAGTACACTACGATAGACAAAGTACGTGACATTGACACAACACAATGATAGAACCAAATTTGAAGCGTTAACTTCTAATTTATAGTGTCACATAGTGATAGTGCAATGTTGTGTATGACACAAGTGTCCGTATGTTGAGCATGGATTGGGCTTTGTTTCCAAGTGGCTGTACTTCATGGCAAAGATGCTCTTGGGTTTAAGAAGTGTGAACATTTTAGAGAGTGATTCTTCAGCGGACATGAATTGATCTCAGTATGAATGGAAGGAATCACATGGAAGCTGGTTCAAAAGTTGTCAATGCATAGCTGAATATGATGCTGAAGAAGAGACTGGAGAAGAGCTTCTGAAGGAGGGGTAGAAGAGCTGTTCCAGCATTTGAAAGGACTTTGCTGAGAATTGATGTTAGTCACTAGCAAGCAGATTCTGCAATGTGTAGGGAAGAGTATGCAACAGACATATTAGCTGCTTTGTCTACAATAAAAAAATAGGGTAAGAGTGTATGATTAACTTCATCTCAGATGGTAAACCTAAAATCCTTTATTATGAGATTTATATTGAGACGTAGGATTTAGCTGCTGGAGTTCCTTTTAAGTCTTCCTTGGAGTATTATCTAATGAATTGCGTTGGCCATTTTATGCTTCTTTGCGAGCATCTTATAAAAAAGTAATATCTTCTCCTTATTTAGCTAGAGAATTGAACTAAGGCTGCTGATGTTCTTTCTGTGTGTATTACTATCTTCAAAGTTATGCTTTGGTGCTGGTGCTTTTAATTTTATGATGACGAACAAAATCTAATCAAGAAGACAAAGGAGGATTAGTCTGTAAACAAGAGCATAAGTTATATGGACTGGAAAAAGTCAAGTGAGAGGAAATGTCATTGGAGATAATAAGAAAACAGGACAGCAACTAATTGATGACATACAGAGGATAGAACAAACTTGTGTATAAAGTTGAAAATAGATTTTTATGATATTCCCAGTTCAATTCTTTTCCTTTTTGTGTTTTTTCAATGAAATTTGATTTTTGGGCAAGCTTTATTATATCAATGCTGATGCATTTTGATTGTATGATCTATGACATGTTTTACTTCCCCCCTTTTTGTCATGTAAAGATATTTGGCCTTGATGGGGGTGAAAGATATCTGGAAAATGTGTGATGACTATTGTCATTATACCCTGAAGTTGTGTTATGGAGGACTTTGGAAAATGTTTAGGAAGGTGTTTTGGTGACGATGACAAATGCAATACTCTGAAGAAACTATTCTGATTAAGTAACCCCTGCCAGGATTTAATATTGTTGGACAGTGATGCTCTTTAGTCTGTCTGTTGTTTCATGGTTATGTGGTTTTCCACTTCAGAAAGTTCTGATTCTATTAGGTTGATGGTTGTTACGGATGTCTTAACTTATTCATTCAAGTGAATGGGACCACATTTAGGCTTCCAGGAAATTATAAAATAGAGAGAGAACTGTTCTTTTGTTTTTTGGAAGAAACTATTTCTCATCTGGCCTAATGTTTTTTTGTTTAATTAAATTTTCTTCTCAATCAAATATTTTATTTTGTCTCAATTAAGGTATTCCTTATGCTTCTAGAAATCTAGAGTCATGTTATAATAGCAAGGTATCCTGAATTACTGATGGATTAAATTGAACCACATCAAAACATTCAAGCAATTGTTTAAGGTTCCAAACTAAAAGAACTTTATTTGTCAAAAACCAAAAAAATATTTAATTTAATTCTACATAATACAAATGGCTAGAAGCTTCTTTGGCCTAAGTGTTCTTTTTTTTTATCTGAATTTAGATAGTATATGACTGTGTTCATATCTTTACAACACTTTATAAGATTTTTTAGAGTGGATCGGTTAATGGATTTTCCAGGCCTTGGCATACTAGACCGTGAAGCTTCTGATGATTTATTGTTGCTTTTGTGGGATCATGTAGTTTCTTGCTTTCTGATACGATGATTGATTCAGGTTTGTTCCTTGTTTTCACGATTAGTCTGTGCTTACTTGAGGCTTCATTGCGTCTGGCCTGAAACACTCGTTCATATGGACACTTTTTCTTATATTTCCTAATGTCTCAACGTTGGTTTAAGTAATAATAGTAGTTAAAGAATACCTGTTAGATAGATTTAAGGCAGATTTTGTGGGAGTTCTTAGATATTTGCTATTTAAGTCCTAAATAGAAGCTAGGCACGTGGAGAAACTCTGTTTAACAAGTCGATAGAGGGATAATGAATTGTAAGTTTACAATAAGCTAATTTCTTTTAATTAAACTTGATAACAAGTACTACCTCCGGTCTTTAATATAAACCCCGTTTGATTTTATTTTGATCCTAATTATAATACTCCCAATCCACTTTGTCTTTCATATGTATGCATTTTTTCCCAAAGTAGTCCTTCTAATAATAATAGTTCTAACCAATAAACTTGATTAGCAAGGATATTTTAGAAAAAACAATACCTATGTGTTACAAATAACTAACTTAACTTATTTCCTTAATCTCCTCAAATTAGTCAACTAGCTTTTATAATTAGGACCGGAGGTAGTAGCTAAATAGCTTAACAGTATATATACCTTGTCCCAATCACAATATGTTAACGGTTTACTAATTCAATGAGCCACAACAGTTAACGGCTTACTAATTCTATAAGGCCCAAGGGCAGTTAGATAGTTAGTTAGGATCTTAAGACCTTGCGTTTATGTGGTGGCTGCCTACATATACAAACATATATATACATATATACATATATATATATATATATTATATTAACAGGGCTGTCTCTATTGTTGTTGTCTGACATTATTTTGGAACGAATATTCAGTTCAGTCTGTTTTCTTCCTTCTTTCCCGTCTCTCTGGGTCTCCTTCCCTCTATGATCTTCCTTCTCCTCTCTAAACCCTTAACCTGTCTCCGACTACCACAACATAATAATCTTAAACTAGCCCATAACTTCACCATAGATCTGTAAAATGGAAAATGGGAAATAAAAAAATTTAGAAGAAAAAATCCTATTTTGGTCCTCGATGAATTGGTGGGCTTTCAATTTTGTACCTCAAATTTTTCTTTTGGATCTTGTCTATCAATTTTTTTTTTTGAACGCTTGCTTGTTGCCCTTCCAGCCAAAATTTATCATCAGACCTAATAGTCTATTGACTCGAAAATTATTTGGTGTAAAATATCACTCTGGAAAGGGTGGGGGGAGGGTAATGTTCAAATTAGCAGATTCTGGATGAAAATAGAACGGAAGGGCAATATTAAAACCATTTTAGTGATTGGTAGACTAAATTAAAACAAATATAATTAGAAGTTTAACTTTATGTCAGAGAATTAAAATATAAAATTCCTCAATAAAGCAGAGAGAGACAAAGAAAACCAAATTTAAAAAAAAAAAAAAAGGTAGGCCAATAGAAAACAGAATGTATTCAAGAGAATATGGAAATAAAGTGAAATTCCAGACAAGCTTCCTTAGAGTGTATAACAAATTGAAGTCTTAATGCTAGCTCAGAAAAATGGTTGAGCCTAAACTGCAACTGATAAACACATATAGCAAAAACAGCAGGTTAGCAATGATCACACATTCTGTAACCATTGTTTTATGAAGTCCTACGTTTGTTTATTTTGATGTTAAGGAAGCAAAAAAGCTGTTCTTGTTTATGGCACCCCTAGTTTTGTGCTTTTACTTATGATCATTTGAGTTCTGACATTCCTAGTTTTGATGCGATTACTTGTGATGATGGATATAAAATGCATTGTATTCCTTGGATTATTCTGATGGGACCAAATATCTGTTGACCTGAAAACAAGAAATATGGAATCTGTTTGCTGCGAGATGCTCTGTATAAAAGGGCTTCCAGGTTATTAAGAAAAAGAAATACATAAGCTTGCATTAATATATTAATATTATCCTCCAAATTTTCGAAGATGAGATGGGAACTGTGTGCATATGGTTCAATGCGCATGCCAAAAGTTATTTTCATAAACTATTGATTGCATGTAAATATTATAGAAAAAAGATCTATTGTAACCTTTGCGGCATCATTAGGTATAAAATTTAACATTTTTTAAATAATTGTATTGAAAGGTCAGTGGTGACGAACTGGACATCAGGGCAATGGGATGATATTTTACTAATATATTCCCAATTTGACTGTAGCTAGTTTAGACTTTAAAATTTTATTGCCTTGATAATACTTTTTTTTTTTTTTGCAATAAGAGTGTTTGAATCCTATTAGTGATCACTATTCCTGTCTCCCCCTAACCTCACCACTTGAACTAATTTTAAGTGGCTGATTTGATAATAATTCTGAAAACATGTCATTTTAATCATAAACTTAGTATTAAATGGTAATGAAAATCATTGAATTAAAACCAAGTTAATGGACAATTCAACTTCCTCATTGCCAATTCGAACCCAAGACATAAATAAAGATGAGAGCAAAATGCTCCCACCACCGAGTCAAAGGTTGAATCGGCCATTACTGAGCAAATATACTAATAATAAATTGATGGTAATAAACTTTAAAGAATTAAATTATAGTGGTATCAGTCATGGGAGTTTACTCTTAAATAAAATCATCAATGCTTTTCTTGTTGCCCTTTCGTTCTTTTTTGTGAGCAGGATGTATTAGACTATTCACTGGGGCCAAAAGCACAAACCTGACCATCACATATCTTTTTAAATGCATAAAAACCCCTTGAATTTCCAATCAATCTCTCTCTGTCTCAACCTCTTCCTCTCTCTCCTCTCCTTTCTTTGTTGATTCACACTCACCCACCCACATGGCTTCCCATGGACCTGGTGTTCATATCTCACTGAACCAGGTGGGAGCAGTTCCAAGTCATGCAGATGAAAAAGGTCATAATCAAGAGGATGGCAGTAACAATTTTGATTACTCTCAGAGGGGACAATGGATTCGAGCTGCAGTTTTGGGAGCCAACGATGGGCTGGTTTCAGTTGCTTCATTGATGATGGGTGTAGGAGCTGTGAAAGAAGATGTGAGAGCCATGCTTCTTGCTGGTTTTGCAGGTACAATTGCAGGAGCCTGTAGTATGGCCATAGGAGAATTTGTGTCCGTGTACACTCAATACGACGTTGAGCTTATGCAGATGGAGAGAGACGAGAAAGATGTGAAAGAAATTGGGGTGACAGAGAAGAGGAAGAAATTACCTAATCCATTTCAGGCTGCAGCGGCTTCTGCATTCTCATTCTCTGTGGGAGCACTCGTGCCTTTGCTTGCTGCTGCATTCATCTCAAACTACAAGGTGAGGCTAATGGTGGTTGTGTTTGTGGCTAGTTTGGCTCTTGTAGTGTTTGGAGGATTGGGAGCTATGTTGGGAAACACTCCTGTGGTTAGGTCTTGTTTTAGGGTTCTGGTTGGAGGATGGGTAGCCATGGCTATCACTTTTGGGTTAACCAAATCATTGGATTCTGGGGGAGTGCAATTATGAAAACCTGGGTATGAATCTGGCTTAGGGACTCTGCTACATTTTCTTTATATCCTCTTTACATTCTCTCACAGATTATATTTTAGAGTGTAACGCTGCAATTTCTCAGTTTGCTACTTGATTCTCTGCTTGTTCTACTTTCCTCATGAAAATGAGATCTGGAATTGTTGGATGAACGATTATGTTGTCAGCAAATAATTACTAGTCAATGATATTATCGTCGCATCATTGATTTCTGTTCCTGGCCATTATATTATCATGCATCACAAATAACTTGATAGTTACTGTTTCAAACTTGTCTTCTTGCAAATAAAGAGTGCTATAATACTTTTGTAAAATTGAGTGCAGAATGATCCTACAAGTGTCTTTAAGAATCTGATGTTAGCTATTAACACTAATTGACATGTGATTTAATTTTCCCCCTAACATCCTGCTCTCTTTTGTTTTTGTTTGGTATTTTTCCTGATTCTTCTGCACACGCACTTTATCAACAAGCTGAATTTAATTTTCCCCCTTACATCCAAACTAATTTTAAAATTGCACTTCAATATTATAATGATATTTCAAATTGTAAAATATCGAACATTCAAAGAAAACGAAGACCCATAAATATAATGACCAAATTAAATGCCCTCCATATCAACACTTGAATGGAATTAGAAGACAAAGCTTCATACTCCATTTGCTCTTGAATATGGAATCTTTTTAATATATTCATTAGAATTAAAGAAGTTAGTTAAAATAGTTATTTGTAAT